CATGTTAGCCAGGATGGTCTTGATCTCCTGACCTCATGATCTGCCCGCCTCGGCCTCCCAAAGTGCTGGGATTACAGGCGTGAGCCACCGCGCCTGGCCAGTCCTCCCTGCCTCTTATCCCCACGCCCGTTTCTCCTCAAACCCTGGGGGCTCCACCTTCAGAACACAGGGAACCGCCCACTGCTCACCCCTCCACAGCCCATCCCAGCCTCCTTCCCCAGCAGCCCTGTCCCCTCCGCCTGGCACCGTCCGCGGTCTGTTCTCCCCACGGTCACCAGAGGGCGTGAGTGACCACGGAGTCGGGGCGGTCCTGGCTTTGCCTACAGCCCCCCATGGTTCCCGCCTCCCTCCCTCTCCCATCCCGCCACAGGGCCCTGAACAATCTCTCCATCTTCTCCCCTCCGCCCTCTCCCCCTCCTCACGCTGCTCCAGCCACACCGGCCTCCTGGCTGTTCCTCCAACACCCCAGGCCCTGTCCTGCCTCGGGGCCTCTGTGCTGGCCGTGCCCTCTGCCTGGGACACCTTCCTCCAGATAGCTGCGTGTCTTGCTCCCCCAGCACCTTTGGGTCTTTACTCAGACGTCACCTCTCAAATGCTGAACGCTCCCCTCCCGAGCCCTGTGGTTCAAATCCTCCTTCCTCCAACTCAACGTCCTTGGCCTCACTTTTCTTCTGTAGTAGAGGCTGTGGCCCTCATTAGAACACCTGCTCCCCTAATGCCTGGCATACAGCAGGCGCTTGATAAGCATGTCGGGTGAAGGGACGACTGTTTTTCAACCTATATCCCTGCACAGCCTCAGCCCTCCACCCCAGACAGCTAGTCCAGAGCTGCCCACACTGTTGAGCAGGTCGTGCACTGCACAAAGTCAGTGGCCATGGGGACCAGTGGGGGACCTGGTCCTCGGTGTCTGCCAGGGCTGGTCTCACTGGCACAGAGGCCCACAGGCACCACCTGCTCTGACACATTAATGACTCTGTCTGCTGCATCCTGGGGCAACCCCCACCCTGGACCGCGCTGGAGACCTGGGCCTCTGGGTGGCTCTCCTTCCTTCCAGCCCTGTCCTGTCCTGGCCAGCCACCCCAGAGTCCTTCTTCACCTCCCTGCCTTGCTGCTTTTTCTGAGACAGAGTCTTGCTCCTGTCGCCCAGGCTGGAGTGCAGTGAGGCGATCTCAGCTCACTACAAACTCTGCCTCCCGGGTGCAAGCGATACCCCTGCCTCAGCCTCCCGAGTAGCTGGGATTACAGGCGTGCATCACCATGCCCAGCTAATTTTTTTATTTTAGCAGAGACGCGGTATCACCACGTTGGCCAGGCTGGTTTTGAACTCCTGATTTCAGGCGATCCACCCACCCCGGCCTCCCAAAGTGTTGGGGTTATAGGTGTGAGCCACCGCGCCGGGCCCTCTGCCTTGCTCCTATGCTGTTCCAGCTCACTCACACCGCAGTGGTTTTGCCGACTGCGATGATTTTCCATTACTGGGCTCCTGTCCTGTGCCAGGCCCCAGAATGGCGTACCGAGGTCCCACCCCTCTGGCAGGCAGAGAAATTCAAGACACCAGCACCACGTGGCATACCAGGGGTTCGAACCTGACTTGAGCACCGTGTGGCACTCGGCGTCAACCCCGAGCTTCCCCTGCTTCTTGGAAGCGCAGCAGCGCCGGGGACCTGGCTTGGTTGCCTCCAGGGACGGGGAGCTCACTCTCCCGGGGCAGCCGGTCCTACTGCCCAAGAGCAGGTAAGATTTGCAGCGAGCGTGTTCAGGCGTGAGCACCACCCCCCGTGGGCCCCGGAGGGAGCCGTGAGGTTAGGGTGGAATGAAAGCCGTGGGGTTGCGTCGGTTAGAGCCGCCATGCGTGGGGCCCGTCTTCTCAGGGAAGCATGGGCCGGCGTGGGACGAGGACACAAAGCACAGGGGGCCCCACCCCAGGCTCAGAGCCTCGGCCGTGGTCCAGCCGCCACCCCCACAACCACAGCCCGGCCAGACGCTGCGGAGAGCAGGTCGGTGTCGCCCCCACCCCACCCGGCCCTCCAGGACCGAGACTTGGCCCGATGGCGGCTGGATCTGGGGCCCAGAGCCTGGGGGACCAACCCACCTGCCTTCATCATGGGGGAGCCGTCAACCGTCCTCACGGGCGTGTTGGAGACTCGCTTGTCTGCACAGGAGGGGAGGTGGAGAGAGAGACGGGGGTCAGAGGAGAGGTCACACGGACCCCCCAGACAGCCCAACACCCCTTCACACAAGTGCATCTGGACCCCCACATGCACCGGGGCCCCTGACCCCACCCAGACCCCACCCAGACACAGGCACCTGGGCCTCCTAGACCCCCACACTCCACACAGACACAGGTACCTGGGCCCCCTATACCCTCAGACCCCACACAGACACAGGCACCTGGGCCCCCTAGACCCTCGGACCCCACACAGACACAGGCACCTGGGCCCCCCTGACACCCAGACCCCACACAGACACAGGCACCTGGGCCCCTCCAGACCCCACACAGACACAGGCACTCGGGCCCCTCCAGACCCCTAGAAAATCCCACAGCCACCCCCATAGTTCATTCCTCATCCTCAGTCCAGTGATTTTCACAAAATCCCTGAGAGGCCTGCCTAGATTTTTTTAATGATTAATTTTTAATTCTACAGTAAAACAAGGAGACACTTCCTTATGAATAATTAACACACACAAACCAGGCCAGAGGCACTTCAGACGCCAGCGTCAACCCTGGCTGCCGACTGTCCCGCTATCGATACGGAAGCGTGAAATGCATTTTACAGACAGGGTCTCGCTCTGTCGCCCAGGCTGGGGTGCAGTGGTGCGATCACAGCTGACCGCCGTCTCAACCTCCTGGGCTCAAGCGATCCTCCCACCTCAGCCTCCCCAGCAGCTGGGACTACAGGCGCGCAGCACGCCCGGCTAATTTTTTTGTATTTTTAGTAGAGATGGGGTTTCACTATATTGGCCAGGCTGGTCTCGAACTCCTGACCTCAAGGGATCCACCTGTCTCAGCCTTCAAGATCGCTGGGGTCACAGGCCTGAGCCACTGGGCCCAGCTGGCGGCTAGTTTTTTTATGTTTGGCAGAGACAGGGTCTCCCTGTGTTGCCCAGGCTGTTCTTGAACTCCTGGTTTCAAGCGATCCTCCTGCCTCAGCCTCCCAAAGTGCTGGAATAACAGGCATGAGCCAATGCACCCGGCTAATTGTTTTTGTATTTTTTCACTAGACACTGAGTTTCACCATGTTGGCCAGGCTGGTCTCGAACTCCTGACCTCAGGTGATCCACCCCCACCCCTTGGCCTCCCAAAGCGCTGGGATCACAGGCCTGAGGCCCCAGCACCTGTTACTTTGTAGCTGCACTCCCCGCCCTGCCATCCCCTCTCTGGCCACCAGAGTGCGCTCAGGCCCCACGAGTTCCTTCCAGAAGCCCTACCTTTGGGTGTGCCCACCGGGGTCTGCAAGAAAGAAGAGAGAGGGGTCAGGGGTGTCAGCATCCCCGGGAAGAGGAAGGGGAGCCCCGGGGTCAGGAGCCTGGGAAGGGCTGGCACAGTGGGTGAGGTCACACGCGCCTGCTTCTCATCCCATCCTCTTGGGACTCTGGCCAGAAACACGGAGGTCATCTTTCTTTTTTCTTTGTTTTGAGACGGAGTTTTGCTCTTGACGCCCAGGCTGGAGCGCAACGGGGCAATCTCGGCTCACTGCAGCCTCCGCCTCCTGGGTTCAAGCGATTCTCGTGCCTCAGCCTCCCCAGTAGCTGGGATTACAGGCCTGCGTCGTCACACCCGGCTAATTTTGTATTTTTAGTAGAGACGGGGTTTCTCCACGTTGGCCAGGCTGGTTTCGATCCCCTGACCTCAGGTGATCCGCCCACCTCGGCCTCCCAAAGTGCCGGGATTACAGGCTTGAGCCACCACTCATTTCTCATTTCTTTTCCCCTTCCCTCATGCCCCTGCATCAGCAGCTCCCGCAAGCTGCCCTGAATCCAGCCGGCTCCTCCGTGCCCCTTCAGTCTGGTCTTGAACTCCTGCTCTCAAGTGATCCTCCTGCCTTGGCCTCCTGGGAGCCACTGCGCGAGCCCCAGGGTCTAGCGTCTCCTGCCTGAGCCGGTTCCGCCCTGCATGGTCAGACCCTGCACACAGGCCCCTCTCCCTGAACCGTGCCCAGGCCTCCCTGCTGCTTCTGGGACACACTCTTGACTCACAGCCGTGGTGTCTGATGTTCCCTCACTCCACTCTCCCCCATCACGTCACTGGGTGTGCCCCTCAGGAAGGCAGGGACTGTGCACGTGTACTGCTGGGCCTCCCACGCCAGCTCTAGTCCATGTTCAATCACCCTTCAGGGAAAAGCGCCTGGGGAACTCCTATTCAACCTTCAAAATCCACTTCCTTGGCCAGGCGCAGTGGCTCATGCCTGTAATCCCAGCACTCTGGGAGGCTGAGGTGGGCGGATCACCTGAGGTCACAAGTTCGAGACCAGTGTGACCAACATGGCGAAACCCCGTCTCTACTAACAACTAAAATTAGCCAGGCATGGTGGCGCGTGCCTGTAATCCCAGATACTTGGGAGGCTGAGGCAGGAGAATCACTTGAACCCGGGAGGCAGAGGTTGCAGTGAGCCGAGATCGCGCTTCTGCACTCCAGCCTGGGTAACAAGAGTGAAACTCTGTCTCAAAAAAAAAACCACAAAGAAAATACCCCACGTCCTCCAGGATGCCTGCCCAGCCCTCCCACGACACCTACGTCCTCCAGGACACCCGCCCAGCCCTCCCACGAATGAGGAACTTCCTTGGGGATTTCACAGCGCCTTGGACTTCCCACCTCTTCAGCCTGACCACGCTCCCTGGGTGGTTCCTGACTCATGGCCATCTTCCCACCTGACATGAGCTCAGTGAGGTCCGGGACTGTGCCCAGAACCAGGTCTTTTTTGTTGTTTTTGAGACAGGATCTCGCTCTATCGCCCAGGCTGGAGTGTCGTGGCGGGATCTC